CACACATACAGACACACACACACACACATACACACATGCGCGCACACACACACAGGCAATTTATGTATAGGGCACAGAATTCTAGGAAGTGTAGAATTCTGTGGTATAGGGCCTTTGATATATTTTTTATATCGATAGCCACAATATAAAATATACAGTCGAAATACAAGAGCTCGCTTTCTAACACAGAGAGGGGCGTTGCCAAAAGCCTGTTAAAGTATAATTTTTTTTATATTGTACACTGTGAACGTTCGTGTTTGTATTCACGTCTGTATCAAAAAGGTTTTGACAACCTCATGAGCAACCTCGTAAACAACGTAAAAACATCTTGTAAGCACAGGCCTAGCCTATCTTGTGGATCTTCTCGATCTAGCCACTGTTGCACTGCACTGATCTTCCGCGCGTTTCTGAATAACGACCTTGACCTTTGGCCTAACATCACCCCAAATCCACACGTCATAGTTCAAAAGAAAACAAAATGGCTGACTCCACAGTGAATGATGCTGCCGATGGCAGTCTTGTAATGAGAATATTTTCAGAACTGTTCGGAAGCCCTTTGAATTTGGCTCTCCTAGGAGTTTGTGGTTTCCTTATTTACAAAATTATTGCAAGTAGGAGGTCAACAGACACCCTCCCGCCTAAAGAACCCGAACTACCGCCACTGAAAAAGCAAGACTTCACCCTCGAACAGTTGAGAGAATTCGACGGGAAGGGTAACGATGGACGTGTTCTCATTGCAGTTAATGGCAAAGTGTTTGATGTCACCAAGGGAAAGCGTTTCTATGGACCTGGTGAGAAATTCCTCTCTTTTTTCAAGCGTATGTGCTTCGGTGATCAATAAATTGTGTGGTGTAAATCTGAGTATACGGTTAGTTGTTGTCCCCAAGCCCAAGAAGGCTGCCCTCCTAGACTTAGACTCTTCTAGGCCTAGAAATCTAGTCCCCTCCTATTATTTTGAGGAAGTTGTTAGATTTTCATTTTGGGACTGTACAGCTGTCTAGCACTACCCACTGGGGGCCTGCACAGTCCCCTAGCGCTGCTTACTGGGGGGGCTGTTGTTACAAATATTTTATGACAAATTTCTCTGAACAGGAAAAAGCTGATTCCGAGATGTCGACGTTTTTAGATTGGCCACCTCTTCTATTCTCATCCGGGTGAGAAAGACAACCGGATAGCTAGAGAACGACAACTAGAATCTAGATGTAGATCTAAACGTCATTGGCCGATATTTATGGTGACAGCATTTATGGTCTGCAGGCTAGGTTCACGGCGCCGTGAATGTAGTTGGCAGGCTACGTTCACGGCGCCCTGAATGCAGTTTGCAGGCGCTGTTGAGGCTAAG